GAAGGAGTGGCTTTACAACAACTCTGTGACTGTTCTTGAATGGCCCAGCCAGAGCCCTGACTTAAACCCCATTGAGCATCTCTGGAGAGACCTGAAAATGGCTGTCCACCAACGTTTACCATCCAACCTGACAGCACTGGAGAGGATCTGCAAGGAGGAATGGCAGAGGATCCCCAAATGCAGGTGTGAACTTGTTGCATCATTCCCAAAAAGACTCATGGCTGTATTAGCTCAAAAGGGTGCTTCTACTAAATACTGAGCAAAGGGTCTGAATACTTATGACCATGTGATATTTCAGTTTTTCTTTTTTAATAAATCTGCAAAAATGTCAAAAATTCTGTGTTTTTCTGTCAATATGGGGTGCTGTGTGTACATTGATGAGGAAAAAATGAACTTAAATGATTTTAGCATATGGCTGCAATATAACAGAGTGAAAAATTTAAGGGGGTCTGAATACTTTCTGTACCCACTGTAGTTATTAATGGTGAGGTTTGAACTTCATCACTGTGTTACTGTTCTAATAATTTGTTATCTCACTGTTATTTCTTGAAACAAACATGCCTATTGATTTACAATCCTTGAGGCTGTGGCCAGCTAGACCAAGACCAGAGACAACAAACAGAACACTGCAGTAAATCACTGGCTTTTATAGTCATTCATGTCTTTTAAATAGAGTTACAGCACCCTAGTTCCCCCTCAGGGAATACTAAGTGCATATTTTTACTTTTAAGTCCAGTGGTGAGATAGAAAAAGATGTTTCACTGCCAGATCTTTAGGCCTAATTGAACTGCAAAATATGCACCTCCTCTCCGTCTGCAGGGGGCACCAGATCACAACACTTGGCTGGACACATGAGATACAGGCCTCCAAACTCTTATCCAGACTCTTTCTCTTGAGGTTGCAAACATTGTCTGGTCAGTGAAGACACACTGTATATAGTATTGTAATAAATGCTGAGATGAACAAAGAAAATCCTCTGTTTTAAAGTGAGTTCAGTGGTAAGTTTAGGGCATAAGTGTCCATACTTCCAGTACATTTTCATATCCATGTAACTGATGTATCTGCAGTAACACAGGCAAATTATACAGAGTACGGCTTTTAACACTGATGGCCACAGAAGGAAATAAATAAAGACAAGCCCAGAAGATAGCAGAGTGGGGGTGGGGAGTCAGTGCAGCAGAGAGAAAACACTTCTAGACAACTTTTTAAACTTGATTTATCCATATTTGTGCTAAATCTTAGTTAATGCAGTTTTAAATTATTGCTGTTGGTCTCTTCTACAGTGTGGTCATCTTGCTCACAAATGGATGGCATGAGCCCTGCCATATGTGTGATGGCCCTTTGCTCTTCCATTTGAAGGAATGGTCAGTGGAATGGTGACTACTCACAGGGCAGTTCCCTGCAACAGCAGACCAAATGCTGCTGAGGAGACCATCTGCTGGAAAACAGAAAGATTCGCAGTCTGTCTCCCAAACTCTGCATCATCATCATGTTCTCCTCAAATGAATGCACAATTATATTAATCCTTTTTTTGTTTGTTTTGCATTTGCCCCTTGATTTCTCTCTGTTTCAGAGAGGGGCCGAAAAGCTACGTGTTGTATGAGATTCAAAACTTCATTTTGTTCTCAACTGCTGTTTTGTTTTTTAACTTCGTGGGCTTTTTCTCACAAAGTAGACTGAGCCATTATGACTTGCTGTGAGAGAGCACTGCTGGCCTAAAACCACTGTCTGTGAACTCATAGCACATTTTTGCTTTTAGATAGCCATAGGTTATTGTAGAAGTAGATCCAGTTGTGATGGAACATGTACATGACAATGTCACTGTAACAAAGCTGCAGGATCAATCATATTTCAGAACCCTCAACCTGGACTTTCCTGTTTAAAACTCTACAGTGAACAAACAGACTTTGTCTCTGTGTGTTTTCAGTTTCAGTACAGAGGGGCACGGTGTACACTGAAGAAGATATTCTACTGTATGTTTGTTTTGTTGCTGATATGTAATCGGTGGTGTGGCTGCAAATGAGTTGTACTTAAGGTTGCAGGGCATTCATACTGAGACCATCTCCATGCATTGCTTCCTAACTTGCATTAATTCATCTTGTTATACTGAGGATTAGTCATCAGTCTGTCTATGTGCATTAAACTTTGGCCTTCATTCACTACAGGTGTTCTAACTACAGCCCTACATTAAGACTGTAAATGTTTAACTCCTGCAATGCTGCATGTGCCTACAGCATGCACTGTCCTTAAAATGACTAGAACCACCCCCTTTTTGTTTGATTGTTTTATTTTAGCTTTGTGTTCTGATAATACTAAAGTCCTGTAGTCATAGTTTTCATTGAGACAACCATAGATTTTTGCTTTAAATCTCACTCTTATGCTAATTTGTATTTTTTGTCTGAACTACTTCCAATTTAAATGTGTTTCATCATTATATCATCTCTGTTCCTTTTGTATAACAATGAATAAAAACCATTTATGTAGAATCAGTGCAGTTAATACAGAAATATACTGTAAACAAAGGCCCACTTTGTTAGTAAAACACCCACATATTTCGGCCATATCATTCGTCAGTGTGCAGTCATAAGAGTCAATATTAAAATACTTTTCTTCAGATTCAGGATGTTTTGAATCATTTCAGGTAACATACGATCTGTAGATGATGATAATGGATTATGTCTATCAACAAATAAAATCACTCGATTTTATGCTCAACTGTATATTAGCGTTTTAAGCAATACAAGCAGCACATACAGTAGCCTAGTCATTTTAAAATTTTACACACATTTGTAACACAAACATTTATATATAACTAAGATAAATACCTTACAAGTTCCCAAGCATGCACTAAAAAATATTGTTTTCTTCACTTTTTCTTCTAGCTATATTGGAACAAATAAAATAACTTTATAAGATATTAGCTGCATTGTTATTACAGTATAAAAACGCACTGGACTCTCCTCTCTGTTGCTCACAAACCTCTACAGAGCGACAGTAGAGAGCATCCTCTGTCTCAGTGTGACAGTGTGGTACGGGAGCTGCACTGCACAGGACAGAAAGGACTTGACCCAGGTGGTGAGAACAGCTCAGGGCATTGTAGAGAGTCCTCTTCTGGATCTGGACTCACTATACACTGACCGGATCCAGAGGAGGGCCGGACGGATTGCTGCAGACCTCACCCACCCAGGCAACAGTCTTGTTTGTGCCTCTTCCCTCCGGGAAGCGGTACAGGAATATAAAGACTAAAACAGACTGAGACATAGCTTCTTCCCCAGAGCTGTGAAGTCAATCACCCCCCTAACCCCTAGTCACACACACAACCTCCCCCCTATGGACAGACACAGAACACTGGACCTCACATCTCTTCCTAAAGACTGAGATTTGCACTGAGCTGCACTTTATAATGTTACTACACTCTTGCTGCTAACATGCTGCTGACCTGATTAGGTCCCATACATCCCTTTTTATTTGTTCATATTTTTATACTGACTTATACAATTGTGTGTTATGTAAATAACATGTCTGTCTTTTAAGCCGAGAGCTTCCGGGAAAAATTTCGTTGTGCTATGCATGATGACAATAAAGATTCTTGAAGTCTACTGAACTCTCGTTGTTTCTCGTGATGTGGCACGTTGCTGTGTGGCTAATCTGTAAGCGCCATGTCATTATATATATGTTTGGTAACAAGTAGAGCAGCTCTGTGTGCTCGCCTGGCGGCGGAAGTGGACCGCAGCAAGCAGAACAAGGTTAGCGGTATCTTTTAGTTTCGATACATTTCAGAATTCAACTTTACAGTCCATCTCATGCTGCAGCTGTGATGGTATTGTAGGCTAGCATTACGTTGTTTACGCTGTTGTGAATTTGATTAGCTTCACTTCACTTTGCACAAACATGGCTAACTAGTTATAACCACAGTAAGGGGGAATCACAGGAACTGGAAGTCCAGACATTAGTAGCAGCGCCACAGAGTTAATTTGACTTGGCTGGACTTTTAAAGTAAGCAGTAATTACACTTGGAACACTTTTTAATGTCACACATTTTAATCCCGTAAGTCACGTGCCGTACGTACATTTTCTAAAAATGATTTTGCTCAATTTTTCCATCTGGCGTTCACTGCATAGTAGAGGCTGTAGCCTATATAGAAAGAGTTTCAAATTAAAAGCCCGAGGATCTTTATCTGTCAAACACTCCTAGAGCGGATCACAGCCTACTGCCCCGATGACGTTGCTGTCATTGCCTGCAACGTCATCGGGGCATGTATTTTCTGTTTATCATGGCTCATGACCTGCATTCATGCGTTAATTTGTGGGCTAAATATTGTGCGTGGACTTAAGTGTCCGATCAGTCATTTTCTCTTAGGGTTGTTTGCTGTTTGGGACTTTTATTTTGTAAGAGCTTCTTGTTTTTACTACCTCACCTCAGCCTCAGCTTTACTCTGGTACTTTATTGCCACTCATTGCCTTCACCTGTTACTCGTTATCCCCTCTCTAGCCTTTATAATGTCCTGGGGGCTCTGGTCCTAAGGACTGCGGTCAAATCAGCCGCCGTTCAGTTTTCCGTGGGCATAAGGACATCATTTATGGATTCTACATGACCCGCACTGTTACCACACAAAGAATCAAGCATTTCTACTGGACCGTTCTGGAGAAAACTCACATTAAAAAAAAGTGTTTTTATTAAACTTGTAAGTTCATAAATAATACAGCATTGGAGTCACATTTTTAATGTGAGTTTTCTCCAGAACGGTCCAGTAGAAATGCTTGATTCTTTGTGTGGTAACAGTGCGGGTCGAGTTAAGGTATTTTATTTTGAAAATCGTGAGCTTTGGCCCGTTTCAATACCTTTACCGTAAATGTAAGTATATAGAGTATATAGGCGCACTTCAAATTCTAGCGCGGCTGGCTTAACCACGGAAAACTGAACGGCGGCTGATTTGACCGCAGTTCCTAAGGTCACTTTTGTTTTTTAGACTGTCAGTCTAGCCCAGTCAGTGATTTGTTTTGTGTGTTTGCTAATACAGTGGAACCTCGATTTTCGTGATTAATCCGTTCGAAAAAGTCCGACGAAAACCGAATGTACAAAAACTGAAGCAATATTTCCCATAAGAAATAATGTAAATCCAATTGATCCATTCCAGACACCCAAAAATATTAACAAAAATGCATTTTATAGAGAATAACTATATTTTTACATACAGAAAACGATGAGAAATAAATGACTAATGAAATGGATAAATGAACATTTAACATCAGTTTTACCTTTATTGAAGACTCTTGTCGGCGCATGGAAGATGGCGAGGAGGGGAGAGGGAGGAGGAGAGGTTATTGTTTGGATGGGGAATCCCCCTCCATAAGGACTTCATGTATCAAGGCCCAATCTGGGGTTACTTCCCTTCACTCATTTCTTCCGGGAAATGAGTGGCCGAGTCACGTGGGCAGGCGGACGCGTTTGGTACGGACTAATGACGCTGAACCGACCAATCAACTGTACGAAAACCGAGCGGATGTACGAAAACTGGGACAACATTTTGACGAAAAAAGTCGTCGAAAACCGAATCATACGAAAAGTAGGGCATACAAAAACCGAGGTTCCACTGTATACTCTTCTGTCCTGATTTGTAACAGTGCTGCATAAAACCTTCAGCATGAATGACATTTTTCTCAATTGTCTACACTTTGTGGCCTTTTTAGATTGTTGGAAACCCAGGACATGATGGCTGAGCTGACCGGAAAGGTCCAAACTGTACTGGGTCTGGTGAATCCAGACCAACTGGGCCGCACCATGACCCATGAACACCTGACCATGACCTTCGAGTGTTGCTACATCCCCCCTCCTCCAGGCGATGAGGCAGTGGCAGAGAACCCCTTCCAGATGCAACATATGTACTGGCTGAGGCAGAATCCTTACAGCTGCCGCGAGAACCTGCTGCTGCAGCAGGAGACCAGTGCCGTGCGGGATGAGCTGCTGGCCTATAAGAAGGCCGGTGGGGGCACAATAGTGGAGAACACCACCACGGGCATCAGCCGAGACCTTCCAACCCTCAAGCAGCTGGCCAAGGACACAGAGGTCCACATCATTGCAGGAGCAGGGTACTATGTGGACTGCACGCACAGCGAAGCCACCAAGGAAATGAGTGTGGAGAAGGTGTGGTCCAGTCCAGAAGCAAGGTTTAGGCAAATTGTGGCATGCACACATTTGTCATGAGGTTTAAAATGGTTTAAACTAGTGGAAGCTTCATCAGTATTTGAGTGTCTGGAATAAGATACTGGTATGTCCCTGTCAATAAGACAAGGGGAATGTCGTGCGTGCATTTACTGTGCTCACACTTTGATCTATCACCCATTATGTGTTTGTGTGTTTATGTGGAAGAACTTTTTTTTTTGCCTCTTTATTGATCTGAAAGGTCTCCTGGCTACTTATCCTGTCTTGTAGTGACGACACTGAGACTGTAGATATCCTTTTCATGGATATTAAGTTATTATTCAAGCTTAACGTGCTCTGTTGATGTGCGTCGAGTCTGTTAAAGGGACTGAACAGAAAAGTGATTTTAATGTATACTTAAAAGTGTGATGCTGCCCTGCTTTAACCATCTCCTCATTTCCTGCCTGTCAGCTCACTGACAGCATTGTCAGCGAGGTGCTTCACGGCGCAGATGGCACAGACATCCGCTGCGGCATGATTGGAGAGATCGGCACTGGCTGGCCCATCACAGACAGCGAGACCAAGGTGCTGAAGGCCACGGCTCATGCTCAGACTCAGCTCGGGTGCCCCGTTATCATTCATCCCGGCCGGAATCCTGCCGCTCCGGCAGAAATTGTCCGGATTCTCCAGGAGGCCGGTGGTGACATCAGCAAAACTGTCATGTCTCACATGGACAGGTGAGAAGTCCCTGGAAAAAGCTGAGTCAAAGATTTGAAGAGATTTAATAGTTTAAGCGTTTTGAACATCAAATTATTTTTGTTTGAGCCTAAAATTAAAGCCGCATTTGCCATTAAGTCCAGTTCTACTCTGTTGTACCACAACGCGTTAGTATTTTTCTTTGGTTTTACTGCAAAAACTGATTTTATATAATTCATACATGCCTTTCGATCCCAGTACCTTTTCGATCTGCTTTTCATAACAAAGTATTCGAGACACCAGTATGCTGATATTTTTTCATTCATTGGAAAGTTGCAGAAAATCCACTGCATGTTGAGAATTTACCCCTGTATTAAAACTGCACATAGCACCTTGACTTCATCACCTATCTCTTCTCTTCATACAGAACTATACTAAATGAAACTGAACTTCTTGAGTTTGCTAAACTGGGGAGTTACTTGGAGTATGATCTGTTTGGAACGGAGATGCTGAACTACTCATTTAACCTGGATGTGGACATGCCCAGTGACTGCCAGAGAGTCAAGACGTGAGTAACACTGCTCTGGGTTAAAATGGTCTTTTCAGTGGAGCTTTTGTTTTTGGGATGCATCAGATTGGAACATGGGCATGACCACACTGATTAGCCCACACTTAACATTTAAATGTGACCTGTGCCTTCAAATTTGGGCTCAGATCCATCTTTCTTTTTATGAGAAGTTCTCTCTTTGTACTGTTTTTAATGTATGTGGGACTAGAGTCTACAGTACATCAGGTGTGTATCATTCAGAGCAAATGCTGCTTTTGTGTTTTACCACCTGTGGAGAGAGGAATGTGTCCTACTGTTTTGCCACAGAAACAGTGGAGGGAGGAGTGTGTGTCAATAGGGGGAATGATGAATCAGTTATGTTGCTTGCAGCATTCACATTCTAGCCAAATGTATATTCACATATAACAAAGGACTTGTTTGATGGATAAAGGCAGATTAGAAGTTATAATATA